TCTTCCGCGGAAGGGCAGGGCTCGCCTGGGCTGTCCGCGCGGGCGGAGGCGTCTCTCGGGTAGGCTGGGCACAGCGCCTGCCTGGGTTGAGCCGTTCCGGGAAGGAAAGGGAAGGCCGGGCCGGGCCGGGCCAGGCGCCGGCGTCCCGCACTCTTCCCCGGAGCCCGAGCGGGCGCCGCCGCGCGGGCCTGAAGGAAGGCTTGGCCGTTCTGCCAGGCGGCTCTGCGCTCGAGCGGCCAGGTGGGAGGCGCAGGACAAGGGACAGCCGCGGACAGAAGACCCGAAAGTGCCGACCGGGACCCTCTGCCGCCGGCTCGCGGGCACCCCTTTTTCCTCACGCTCACGCGCGGTCCTTCCGGCGTTCAGCGGTTGGCCGCGATCTGGGTGCCCAGCAGCAGAGCGATGGCCGCCCGCGACCCTGGGTCGTGCCACCCCAGCGGGCCGTCCCGGACTCCGCTTCGCTTTTTCAAGATGAGCCCAAGTTGGCGAGGAACTGCCTCTCAGTTGTTTGAAGGCGTCGGAAGAACCCTTCTATTCTTTGGCCAAAAGGAAAGTGTTTCCCATGGAAATGGAGTACAAAGCGCTTGTCAGGTCCAGCCACCCACAGGAGCCCTGAACAGGCCAAGGGTCGGCCATCCCCTGGAATTCTGACGGCTGGAGCATCGGGATATTGGGGGAGACCTACATCTGTGGGTCCCTCGGAGTGACTTCTTCCAGGACCTTTCAGGCTGCTTTCTGAAACTCACATTAACATCCATAGCCAGGCACTAACTTTCACAGGGCCACTACAAATGCCATAAAAGAGTGTGCAAGCTCTGTGCAGTAATGTGCTTTTTTGTTACTTCTCTTGTGCAACTCAACTGCACAGCAATATCTCCCACAGGATGCATCAGTTACAGCAGAGATCAGTAAAACCCATCCTAAATTCCACCCTAAGGCAAGGATGACTCCCGCTCTCATGGCTTTCTGGAGGTGGGTAAAACCTTGGCTTTTCCACAGGCCCTTGGGAATTGATGGTGGTCACAGCTGCCTGTATGGATTATCTTACTTTCAATTTTAGTGATTTCATGTAATAAGTTACCTGTGATTATTTTAATATCCTTAAAATGCTTAGAGCCCACTAGTATGGTAATAATGATAATAATTCTTCCTCTTCTTCATCCTCTTGTTCTCCTCCTCCTCATGGTTGGTCATACAGTCAACCAGATGTTTAGACTGGACTTGGCATTTTTATTCCCCTACTGAGTCCCTCTCAAGGACCTGGGAAAAACAGCTGTTGTTTGATGGTGTTAAAGGTATCATTGCAGGATATAAGCATTTCCAAGTAAACTTGCCTTTTGCAATTGACTATGATTTTGTCAATGCCGGTGGTCTTCAAGTGGTGCTCCAGATGTTTTGGGATTGCACCTAAGGTGCCTATAACTATTGG